GGAAGTGGTGGAGTCACCGTCCCTGGCAGTGTTCAAGAAACGTGTAGATGAGGGACATGGTTTAGGAGGCAGGGTGCTGATGGGTTTATGGTTGGACTTGATGATCTTGAAGGTCTTTTCCAACCATAATGATTCAATGATTGATGGTGAAAAAAGCTATGTGGAAATAAAATATTTAGTACTACACTATCACAGCATTAGATGCTGCCCAATTAAATAAGAGAAGTAATAGTTCAGACCTCAGTGCGACTTCATCATTTTACATATACACAACTTAAATGAAGCATTTTTTTTGTTTGGCTTCACTACTTAAACTTCAATAAAATCATTCTCACCTCTCAAATATAGGTACATACCTTCCTACACAACATTTAAATCAACAAGGGGAAAAACAAACAAAAAAAAGATTAAAAAAACAAGAAAAAAAATCAGGAACTAACTTCATGGAACAAATATAGTAATTTTTGGAAGAGAAATTTTTCATATACTTTCATCATAATCGAAAAACAATGCTGAAAGCTGCTTACCACTTCTGTTGACGTTTCTGCATGTTCAGAAGTAACGTGTTCTTGAAGAGATGTTTCCGTATAACCCATCTTTCCACAATAAGGACAAGTAAAAGACTGTGGCTGCTCTACAGAGAAAGCTTCTCCACCGTAGTACAAATCTGGAAAAGATGATGTTTTAGGAGGGGGCTGTTTTCAAGCAGCATAGTCTATTATTTTATTTATATAGCCTGTGTATATATACACATATGTGCATGTAATCAAATTAATTCATTCAATATTTAGTCAAAGTAAGATTTTTAATTCTACACAAAGGGCATATGCTGATATTAAAGAAATTTTTCAATGACTCAATTGCCAAAAGAATAGACAGACTACACATCATTTTCACTAGCAAATAACATAACTTTCTAATATTCAGTAATCACAAACGTTGATGGTGCTGCTGAAACTTCACTTTTCCTCCATTCTTATTTTTGCCATAGGTGACTTTGTACCAAAAATAACATTACTGTAGATGCACTATCCTCTCAATCCTACTCGCAGCCTAACTAGATTAGAAGGGGTAATTTAAAATGCCTCAGTGACGCCAGCACTCCATATGGTGATACTAGCTGAATCAGTGTTTAATAATAAAGGGAAGTTTTAAAAAGAAGTCTTAAACTCTAGGAGTCTGTTCAATGAAGCAAAAGGAGTTTGAGATCTGTTATGTACCAACACTTCTCCAGCACTTCTTGACTATTTAAATAGCAGCCTTCCCTATGCTGCTAATTCAGCAATTAACATGAGTCAAACCAATCATGAAATAAGGCTAAAAAAAGTCAGTTTCCTTCCCCCTCCCCCCCCCAATAAGGATTATGAAACAAGATTTCTCACTTGAGCATCAAGACAAAAATGTATTTTTCTTCAACAAATTTTAAATTCTTTTGCTGCCATTTTTATTACTTGGACTTATTGATAAATAACTGATAGGCATTTACTCCAAATTGCAAGTGTTCTGTTATATATAGGGGCAAATTTCAGAAAATATAAAAACTTGTGCTTTGCACCACAAGGCAATATCTATCCATCTAACTCATGTTAAGGATACATTCTTCTGCAAGCACAAGTAGCAATTTTCCAAGATTTTTCATATTTTCTGCTATTGACCTGTCTTTGAGACAAGACTAGGAAGAGCAGAATAATAGTTATTTCTATAGCCAGATAGAAGACATTACCTTGGCTAGAGAGACTCATTCTTGAAATATAGCTTACCTATAGAATTTTGCCAAGAGCACTGTACATTTAACCACAGAGAAAAAAGAAAGAAAGAAAAAAAAACACAGTATTTGAGCTATAACTGGATATTCTGAGGATTAATACTCTAAAACCAATGCATCGAACCATATTTACAACTTAGAAGTAAGTAGAGTTAAAGATATAGAATCAATGTAATTCCAAGGATGCAATAAGCTCCAGAACAAAGAGTTTATGTTCACTAAGTTCCTGTTTCTGTTATTCAGGAAACTGTTTCCAGAGAGCTTCAGCACAGGATGACAAGAGAAGGGTGTGTCTTTATTGGACAAGGTTAAAGGAAAAAAAGCCATAGTTGACAGAAAGCCTTGCCAAAAAGGAAACACTGCCATACAAATTGACCATTTTAGCCTGTCCCATCAAATTCTCTCTCATACTAAAGCTTAAGTTATCATTCCAAATCTAGTCTTGGTTACTCCTAACAAAAAGAAAGTACTACAGACCAAACCATCCAAAAGAGAAAAGTTCCCCTGCCTATTAAATCATAATCCAGCAAAGTAGCATTTGAGGTTTTCTAAGTTTTCTTTATAATGAAGTACAGGCAGAAGAGTACCAACTTTTTGGATGAAGAGGCTGGAACTGCAAATTCATATATGATAGGACCACACAGACTGAAAGGCAGCAATCTTCATCAGAAGAGATGCCCAAAAGATGCCTCCCCAAAACTTAAATCATTTATACAGTACTAACAGAAACAAAAGTCTGGAATCATTATTAGAGGGAATTTTCCAAAGGCCCATGTAAAACATTTACCAAGACTCAATACTTGAATGCACCTGAACCACTCAACATATAGAAGATAAGCATTTCCACATCAAGGTGGTGAACAATAGCATCCAACAGAAGAAAGTCTGAATCAAATTTAATTTACTTGTACGCACCAAATACTTTTTAGAAAGCTTCCAATTTTGATGTTGCCAAAAACACCACAGTATGTTTAAATAAATAAAAACATCATTGTTTCAAGTGAGCAAAGCAAAAACAACCTAAATGAGGGACATTTTTAAGATGTCATTGATGTCTAAAAAATGGATGAGCAATACAGGTGCACCTTTTGTCAGGGGAAAAAGGCATTTGAAAGGTCAAGGATCCAACATACTTGTCAAGTGAAATACACAACTGTAAAATGCTGCAATGAAGATGTATGACCTCCATTAGACATGAAATGGAATTTATCTACTGATAAAGAAAATTATTACAGAAGTTGCTACAGTATACATCAAAAAGGAAGGTCTTGAAAGCATTCACAAAATCATTCCTACAGTGGCATTCTGCAAAGGCAATGCAGTACAAGACTAAACCATAATTCTCACTTCTCCACAGTCCTACAAATATAAGAAAGTGGAAACTTTTATAAAGGTTTTAGGTGCAAAGATAAATAAAAAGATCAAACTTCTGATGAGATGAATTGATAAAAGTACCTAATTTAACTGCTTTTACTTTAAAATAGGACATGCAAATACGATACTATCATTTAAAGCTTAGTATTTCAGCAAGGACTCATGCAAAATATTCTGCAGTCCTATAGGAATTGTTAAATGTCAAACATATCATGAGCTAATGATAGTTCATTTAGTTGCTCATTTGATTTCCCTCAAGCTTTGGTATAACCCTCCAGACAAAAAAAATATCCATTTGTTGGTATTATTATAATTTTTTTTAAAAAAAGGAAAAAACAAAACAAAAATAGAACACACACTCCAGCATATTGCATAATCTTAGGAAGATTTTCTTATAGTTATTTTTATAATTTTGGTTTGTTAGATCTATTATCTAGACAAAAACAACCACACATACACAACTAAATCATTAGGTGGTCTATATACCTCTAACCTATGGATCTCACCTCATTTCAAAACCAGAAATGTTTCCAAGGAGAGAGCTACCCACCCCAACTTTTCAGATGAACCAATGTCACAGAGTGAAATGTCCAAGGACAGTGGAAAACCAATTAGCATGTGTTTAAAATCTCCCCCTTAGTGACCTTAGTTCTGCACAGATGTAAAAAATTCCAAGAGTACACATTGTCTTATCACAGAGGATGGAAATTTGACAAGTACTATCAAATCATATGCTTCCAGCTTTTTTGAAGGGTCTGAAACAAACCAATTATCAGTTTAATTAATATATATATATATATGTGTGTATATATCCACTGTGTTCCTTCCAGCCTCTTGGTTATACTGATGTCCATTCTTCCTATTCATGCTTCCTCCTACTCCTTTCCTATAGCTCACAGTAAGCTTGTGTTCACATGTCAAATAACTATGCGTTTCCCTGGAAAAAGAAAAAAATTAAAAATTCACCCATTGACAGTGAAACAACTTGCTAACCAGTCCAGATGTTTTTCATTCAGAAGCTGATACCCTCACCATCTTTTTTGTCCTCATCCTTAACCTCTCCACTTTTCCTTACCAAAGTATTGTCCCATAGACCTTTGATAATCTGAAATAAAGGGGCCAAGATATTTTTTGTTTAAAGTATCAAAAAATAAATATGCTTGGTCATCAAGTAACCATATCATGAATCTTCATTTTTCTGTCCAATTGAAGAGCATATACTGGCTATTTTTCTACCTGTTTTGTCTTTACAAGGACATCAAGAATTCTCAGAAAACATACAGTATAACATCTTTAAAGGCCCACTTGCTAAGGTCATGGGTACTAGGGGAAGGGTATGGGGGGGGCGGGCAAGAAAAAATAGGGAGACAGTCTACAGTTGTATTCCTGTTTCTACTTATAGCTATAATATCATTCTGATGGGACTGGTTCATGACCAAAGAACTATCCCTTCTGGCCACAAAGAAATCTTTGAGATACTGGGTTTTAGCCTCTTCCAACTTATTTCCTACACAAAAGTTCTGACCCCTAGCTCTTCAGACTCCTTTTCGGTAGACCTGTAACACCCTGTTTTCAGAAGAGCTAGGAAGAAAGATAGCGTTGTTTAGTAATTCTTTAGCAAAAACAGCTGCTTGACCAATTAGAAGAAAAACCTTGGAAAGGAAGCAATGGATGGATGCAGTTCCCCATATTTTCACCTCAGACTAAAGTATATCACTCAAGGAAAAGTTTCCCTAGTGGCTTACAGAGGAAGAGCACTAAGATAATGCTAAAAGCATGAGAACACTCTCTAAAGAGAGCTCAATAGCATACAAAGTAAGACTTCAAGTCTAATAGTATTTCCTAAAACACAAATAAAAAAACATAATTACTTAAGGCCTCTCACATTTGACAATCCCTGCCCAAAGTTATTCAGCTTCATCAACCACATGGAGCTAGCACATTCTGAATGAGAGCCAGGAGGTTAGCAACTAGAAAGAAAAAAATATACTAGAGTTCCTCAGACAAAACCAGTATTTAAAGGAGCTGATTCAGGACTAAATGTTGTAGCCATTTGTCCTTGTATACTGAGGAGGCATATTATTTTAAGAGGGTACACAGAAGACAGAAATTTTAATATCACTTTTCTTATTTTATACAAGTGAAATTTCATTTCATTTAAATGTATGCAGATAAAACTAAAAATAATGATATCATACAAGCAATAAGATAAATTCACACTATTATTTCAACTAAAAGCTTGAAGAAATTGAATGCTGACAAGGCTACTTCTTTATTTTTTGAAGATACTTTTCTAACACTAATCAAGAAGCTTCATTAATTAGAACCTTTGAATCAAATCTGGTTGCAAGCAACAATTCTGAATTCTGCAAACATCCCTCTTGGGTTTTATCTTCTTTCATTTAGTTTTATACTGCAGATCTTTCCCTTCAGGATGTTTTCTTTTAATCTGCTTATACATCCTTGCTTGGTGATTTTTAGTTTCACTAGAACAGCTAACCCAACAATTCTGAAACAAGTTGTTTAGACTAACTCCAGCATTAATTATAAATTTTCCTTATCTCCTCAACTCTCCCTTAAAGTCACACGAGCTCCTTACTTATCAAGTACCCTTTAAAAAGTTACTGCACTTTCTATAGACATGTTGACTTAAAAAACAAAACAAAAAAAATTAACATATTCTGTTATATTTTACATTCCATCCAGGATTGTAATAGCAAGGCATAAATATTTTAAGATTGAGGTCATAACCTTCCCTAAAGCCTAAGCAGAAGGACATTTATAAACATCCTGTATTTCACTCTGCTGCATAAATTTACAAGTTGACTTTTACTTTGGTGTTTTCTGCCATTCATCTTTGCTGTGGTTTATAATTCAGTGATGTGCTCTTTCTTTTCATATTGTTCCAGGGATTTAATCAAAGTAAAACTCTTGTTTAAGAGCTGTGTGTCAGCATTTTCTTCTCCTCTTATTAATACTGGTTCTGAGGAAGCAGTGTTTAAATATCAAAACACATGAAAATAATACAAAAACCTTTTTTATTTTAATAATTATTCTTACTTAAAGAAGCTATAGAGGCAAAAATATCTCCCATACTTCAAAATGATTTGGAAGTAACCCTAAAAGTCCTTTGGATCAGCACTTCTCCCTAGTTCACTGCAAAGTTGCTTCCATCTTCTTGACTGGATTCTTCATACAGATTTAAAAATTCTGTAACACCCTAATCCAAAGGCATGTTTGCTTAGAGACTTTCAAATAAAAATATTCAAGTTTCCAGTAACAAAATGTTTTATAGATGCACGAAGCATTCACCACCTTGGTTGCTAGGACTTCTAAAGAGATAAAAGATTTAAAATAAAATTTAGAGGTTGGGGTGTGACAGATGTGCTCCTTCCCCAGCTCAACCTGACTTCTCATACATAGCCCTATTCAGGTGTTAACTACCACATTATCTGATGCTGGTAGTTGCCTCCCTGATTTCTTCCCCCACCCAGACGATGGCTCCATCCTGATGGGGAGATAAGGCTAACTGTGAATACACCAGCCAACAGTCATTTCTGAATTGAAAGAATGACTATCAATCAATCATCTTATCCCATAAATACGGGGACAGCCCAAGAGCCCATTGAGCTCTCCTTGCATGGCAGTGGGCTGCACGCCAGGATCTCCCCTTGAGCAGGGATGCCTCTCAAGGATACTCCTCGAGGTTAAGAGATCCTTCCCACTACAGATTCGTGGTAAGTAACTAGAGCGCGCTTTTCTCTTTCTGAATTTGTAAACCTTACTTTGTAACTGTGCACAAATCCCTTAGACATAAACTGTTGACCAGGTCTGGGACTAGGACTGGATTCAGCCTCACCCAGACTCCTCTCAGAAGGAGTTTGGAAAGCAAGGGGGTCCAGTCTGAACCTCGTGACCCAACGGGAGAGTGTCCTTAATTCTGTGTGTATCTTGAACCTCCATGCAGTAACTAATAAGTGACCTTGCCACAGAATCTCATGAAACCATTGTCATTACCAATAAAACCTATTCCTATTTCTTTCCCACGAGTGAAGTGCATTGTGTCACTCACCTCCACCACCACTCATTCCGTGACATGGGGCCAGACTCTTCAGTGGTGGCCAGAGATAGGACAAGAGGCAATGGCCACAAACTGAACCCCAGGAAGTTCCACCTCCATGTGAGGAAGAACTTCTTTCCTGTGAGGGTGACAGAGCCCTGGATCACGCTGCCCAGAGAGGCTGTGGAATCTCCTTCCCTGGAGATCTTCAAACTCGCCTGGATGCCACCCTGTGCCACGTGCTCTGGGTCTCCATGCGGGAGCAGGGGGATTGGACTAGATGATCTCTAGAGGTGCCTTCCAACCTCAACCATTCTGGGAATCTATGAAAATTTCCTATTGTATTACATTGAAACTTTTAGCATTTAATACTAACTTATAGCTCCACAGCAAGCATACATTAGTCCTATTTCCCCTATGAATCACATACATATGTTTATGACAACACTGCTGTTTAACCCCATCTGTAATATATGTGAATATATTTTTACTTTTTTAATCAAAAAGTTTTTAAAACTAAAATTCCTAAGACCTCAACTTTTAAGAGATTATTATATTTTAAAAGAGATGAAAATTTAAAGAACAATATGGTTCACTAAAAACATTTTTTAATAAAATGTTAGTTTTGTGGGCTTAGAACAGGCATAAAAAGAAAGAAGCATCCAATGTCAGCAACATCTTAATGCAAAAGTTTGTTCAGGAGAATTACACCACCAGTGTTATAAACGCGTATTGGAGATGGAAATTTCTGTGATCTGTAGAGTCATAACAATCTCCCAGGGGAAGCAGAGGCCAGACCTTGAGAAAGAAGATGTTTGCCTGTCTGGGCTGAGCAATAAGGAGCACGGAGGCAGCTGCTCAGGGTGGTTCACAGGCAGCCCCCTCCGAAAACCTGTTGAAGACAGCCGCTCGGCAGGGCTTGTAGCCAACTTAACTGCAGACGTCCTCCAAACTAGCTTTGGAGGTCAAACACCCGGAAATGAGGAAGAAGAGGAGGAAGGCAGGACCCTTGAATTGAGGGCTGGGACCCCCGACTGTTATCCGCACCTGCGCACCCAGGCGGGAGAGTTGCACAGCTGAAGGAAGAGTTTGTCCGCCCCCCGGGCTGCCTCCTGGGTTGTACTGACCCTACCTGCCAGGATGCACCGGGCATAAAAGTGGACGGGGGGGATAAACGCTCCATGTAGTCACCTCGTTCTGGTGTGATTACTGCCGAATCCCGAGCCCATTCGGAACAACATGATGTGACAGAAATGATATTTGAGAAGGGAGACGATATCAATATTGAAGTGTTTTTGCAGTCATAAAGAATTTCAAACAAGTCCCAAATGGACTACTTGCTAGCCCTTTACACTGTTCTTCCACATTCAGTACAGCTTACAACCCCTGCTGCATTAACATGCCCAGATGTAATCAGAGAATAACATCCCCCCTAACTCTCACCACAGTTTCTCTTCATCACCATGGCACATTCTGGTACAGCATTTTGGAGGAAAGTGTATGTGCATGCATAGATTTGCTATGCCTTTTGAATTGGAAGTTAATTTAGAAGGAATCATTTTTATCAGAAATAATAGTCTGATAATGTGCTGTGTGCTAAAACACCTTACCTAAAAGCATAAAATAATTTTTATATGCTAGAACCAAAGAGAAAACAAGTCTTTTATCAGACAGACACGCTATTTTTGGAAAAGAAAAAAAAAAAAAACTTAATAAGCAATGAAACAAAAACACAAAAACATGTATTATGTTTGTAACTATTGCAAATAGCTATAATATCAGTTAAATTATTACTTACCAAAGTCTACTCTTGTTAGTATGCACTGCATTGGATGGTCAGTTGTATGCCTTGTTGTTGTTGCACCACTTTCATAACAAGTTGCACACAAATCGTAATCGTAGCAAATTAAACACTTGTATCTGCGACCTCGAAAATTTCCTTTTAAACATGCATCACAGCTGACACCTGCGAACAAATTGAATTGCTTGTAAGCAACATTAATTTCCCTGTGGTTTAATAATAGAGATTTCTTGCTATTCCCCCCAACAATCAAAAAGTCAGCCAAGAAGCTTTTATGCAGTTGATATGTAACATGACCCAAATTTAAAGCATATTTATATCTTTTTAAAAAGGCAATAGTCATCCAAAAAGAAAGTGTATCTGCGACCTCGAAAATTTCCTTTTAAACATGCATCACAGCTGACACCTGCGAACAAATTGAATTGCTTGTAAGCAACATTAATTTCCCTGTGGTTTAATAATAGAGATTTCTTGCTATTCCCCCCAACAATCAAAAAGTCAGCCAAGAAGCTTTTATGCAGTTGATATGTAACATGACCCAAATTTAAAGCATATTTATATCTTTTTAAAAAGGCAATAGTCATCCAAAAAGAAAGTGTTGAACACAAAGTAAAATAAAAAAAAATACAGTAAAGTACTCAAAATGATCATTTTATTAGGCTATAAAATCTAGATAATTTTTCCCCTGTTCTGAAGTTTTGTTCAAAACACTCTGAAATTAAACAGTACAGCAGTCGATCTGGAACTTTTACTTGAGAGTAGAAAAACTAAACAATCCACAAAGCCACACACAATCAACAACTTGACCCGCAATCTCCCTCCCATCCATTTTTTTTTGTGTTTTTTTTTTTTATATGTTCTAATATTTCAATTCTGAAAAAAATGCCACAACCATTCTTGAAATTGTATCTGGTGGTAAAAATTAAGTTCTTTTTTGAAGTACAGAAGAAAATTAAGATGCATTCAAAGCTATATTACATCAGCTCTCCAGCTTTCTCCTTTTTGGAATTCAATCTCTGATTGCAAATCAGTCACAGTGCCTGTGTCAAAAAAAGGCTTCGTAATTTCTAAAGTTTGGGCCATTTGCACTGAACTTTCTGTTGTTAATTTAGATAAGCACAGGGGAAGCATCATCATCAAGGCCCATGAAAATTTACTACTGCAACTGAAGGAAGTTAAGGGCCTTCATGAAAATAACTAGTGTATACAATACATGAATTTTTGATCAACATCCTCTTTCACCATCAATTTAAGCATGCTTTTCGTACTTCACTGCAAGTACAGAAAGCTACATAGAAACAAAGTCACTGGAAGAAAGCAATGACGTTAATCTTCTAATCATCCCCTTGAAGCCAAGAAAGTCTCAAAACTGCATGTCCCAAGCTTTTTATGATTGCTTCCCAACTATAAATTCTATGATAAGAATTTAACATAAAAATCCAGTATTAGCACAATCCACCCCTAGTAATAGCAATATCAGTTCCAGAGGGCAACATTACTTTTTTATCCTTCAGTGCAATAGAGAAGGAAAATTTCAAACAAACTATTAAATTGAGAAATTAAAATTAAAACCTTGGTTTAGGAGTTAAACCCATATTTAAATACCCAAATCCCCCACTGAAATTGGCAAGACCTTATCATATCACTTAGTCATATCACTTAGTGTTTATTTTTCCCCCTTCCTGCCCCCCCGCCAAAAAAGGCCTCATAAATTCATCTTTGCTACTTTTTTTCCCTGAAGTTGCTGACCAAATGAGTCTTTTCCCACCTCATTCCTG